GCATCTACTATGCTCCAAATCAAAGGTTGCACCACTAAAGACACTTACAGTTCCCAAGCTAGAACTTTCAGCTGCTCTACTTTTATCGGAACTCATTGATATGGTCGTCAAAACTATAAATTTTACATGCGATTTTCATTGCTGGTCAGACTCAATGGTGGTATTATCTTGGATACGTGAACAACCGTCCAATTTTAACGTTTTTGTCTCCAATAGAATTAGCAAAATTCAAACTCTTACCTGTGGCATGAATTGGCATCATGTACCAACTTCTATGAATCCTGCAGATATCTTATCAAGAGGAGCAGCGCCAGATGAACTTTTAGCCTCAACACTTTGGACACAAGGACCTGAGTTTTTAAGAACATCGCATTTACATTGGCCCCAAAATACTGTTTTCGTAGCAGAATTACCTGAACGACGCAGGAGAGTTTTAATAACTACATGTCAGCAAGATTTAACGCTATCCTGTAAATTCGCTAACTCATTTAATAAAATGCAGATAGTTTTCGCATATATTTATCGATTCGTGTCACTCAAACATAAAGAGACCATAAGGAAAACTGGCCAACTTGATCCTCAGGATATTGAAAGGGGTACAAAATTAATGATTTTAAACATACAACAAACTCATTTCGCTGCTGAATACAAAATATTAAAAAAAAGAGGAAATGTTAATAGTTCAAGTAAACTTTACTCCCTCAATCCTTTTATTGATTCATTTGGAGTAATTCGTGTAGGTGGTCGACTAAAACATTCATTACTAAGTTTCGAGGCTCGCCATCCAATGATACTTCCAAAAGCTCATGTTATCACAAACGCAATGATAACCTATTTTCATCAGAAGAATTTGCACGCCGGGCCACAAAGTCTGCTCGCCACAATTCGTTTGCAATATTGGCCAATTGGTGGTCGAAAAACTATAACACGCGTTATCAACAAATGTGTTCGTTGTTTTCGACTTAAGCAAAAACATGTCGAATATATAATGGGAGATCTACCGCGCGACAGAGTGCAACCAAATAGAGTATTCCACACTACTGGTATCGACTTCTGCGGTCCCTTCTATTATAAATCTGAAGTGCGAACCAGACCTCCAGTAAAATGCTACATCTGTTTATTCGTTTGTTTTTCGACGAAGGCTGTACATTTAGAAGTGGTAAAAGATCTAACTACATCATCGTTCTTAGCTGCTTTGAAACGTTTTACTTGTATTCGTGGAAATCCCAAAATAATTTGGTCTGACAATGCCACGAATTTCGTTGGTGCAAGGAACGAGTTAGCTGAAGTAAAACAATTGTTCGAAAGTAGCCAACATCTTAAAAATATTCATCAGCATTGTCTAAGCGATGGCATAGAATGGAAATTTATACCACCTAGATCTCCACACTTTGGTGGTCTCTGGGAGGCTGCCATAAAATCTGCAAAGCGTTTGTTTTACAGCACTGTTGGACTTTCAATCTTATCATTTGAAGAATTACGCACACTCGCATGCCAGTTATCGGCAGTGCTTAATTCTCGCCCTCTTTGTTCTATTTCAGAAAATCCAGACGATTTAGAAGTCCTCACACCAGCTCATTTTTTGGTGGGTGGTCCGCTAATATCAATATCTGAGCCCAACCTTACCACGTCTGACTTCTCTCGCTTAGACAGATGGCAACGAGTTAATTATATGCTACAAATATTTTGGAAAAGGTGGAGTGTCAACTACCTCACCCTATTGCAAGAGCGTAGCAAATGGCGCTCACCTGCAGCAAATGTTCGTGTTGGAGATATAGTACTAATACATGAAGACAATGTTCCACCTCTTAAATGGCATTTAGGCCGCATCACCAGCATAATATGCGGATCTGACAATGTGGCTCGAGTGGCGGAAATACGCACGAATATAGGAATTATCAAACGTGCAGTAAGGAAGGTGGCAGTTCTTCCAATAGACGATAAATATGTTTAAAGTCTGAGCCTTTCAACCGGGGGAGGATGTTTAGAGTAGTAATAATTATTTTTAACATTGTTTTACACTGCAACACTGTTTGTTTGAAAGGTGATTTGCATTTCATTTTTGCTTTATTAAATCTTTGTTCTTGCTTTTTTGCCTTTTATGCTTTGTATCAAAATTTGCAACTCTCTCTTACCGGTTGATCGTTGGCGAAGACGCACGCATTTTGTTTCACTCGTTTATAAACTTTCAAATTTTGTAAAATAAATAAGAATGTACATTTATATAAAATATTATCATTTCGAAACAATATATAAATAAATAATTACAAAGTGATAAAAAATATTATCATATCAAAACAATACATTTACATATATATATATTATATTTAGTACTAGGTGACCCCGCGAACTTCGTACCGCGTAACAGTCAATAAATGTTATATTAAATTATAGGTAAACTATATTTAGAAATTTATTAACGTAATAAAATGAATACAAAAAATTTATTGTATTCAATAGTTTATTAGGATATTGATACATAATTAATTATTTTAATGGTCTGTCAGCAAGAACTTATGGGTTGCACTCCGATTGATTCTCTTCAATAAAGAACCTTGTGATATACGATATTTTTTGTTTTTTTATCAGGCGCAAGAACAAATAAAGCAGATGGTTTGCCTACACGTGAACATACCACGTACAATTGACCATGTGAAAAACATGCATTTTCTAGATTCAGACCACAAACACTAAAGGATTGGCCTTGTGATTTATTTATAGTCATAGCGAATGCAAGCCGAATAGGAAATTGAATTCGTTTAAACTCAAAGGGCATATCGATTAAGATCATTGGAATCCTCGGAATGAGAACTTCATCACTTTTGAATTTTCCTTTGAGTATCATTGCGTGAATCACATTGGCCATCAGTTTTGTTATCACTAAACGCGTTCCATTGCATAGTTTTGGTTGGTTTAGATTTCGAAGCATAATGACTACCGAGCCAATCTTTAATTGTAAATTGTGCGGTGGTAAGCCAGGCACATCCAAGGAGTTCAAAAATTCAGTTGGATAGTTGGTAGCTTCTTCTTCGTTTGTTACACAGTCAATAGATTTGAATGTATGCAGAGTACCAACGATTTGATTTTGAATTACAAAGCTTAAGTCATTCACATCTTTGTTCTTAGCTGCCAAAATTGCTCGCTCACTCAACCATTTTTTGTTTTTATGATTATCAATGATGTTCGGAAATACTTCATTGATGAGTTCGTTTTTTGATGAGACGAAATTGCAAAAATTTGAAGGAAATGCAATTAATCCGCTCGATTCTTCAACAGCTACACGGCCATTACCGATTAACAGCAATTGCTTGGAGAACTCTTCAGCAGATGTATCGTTTACCAATGCAACTCTCATGTTTGTTACCAGCTGAAGTTTCTTCACATAGCGCCAAAGATTTGATGATTTAAGGCAAGCATTTATTTCGTCGGCAGCAGTCGATTTTGGAATGACTGGGAGTGTTTGGCGAAAATCGTCAGACAGTAAAATCATTGCACCTTCAAAACATCTCGAGTCATTGCGAAGATCTTTCAATATTCTGTCAAGTGCTTCCAATGCGCGTTTGTGCGCCATTGTGCATTCGTCCCAGATGATGATTTTAAATGCTACTAAAACTTTAGCCATTGCAGAATGCTTCGCAATATTACATATCGGTTGCTCGGTAGTTTGAAGGCTTAACGGCAATTTTAACGCTGAATGAGCCGTACGGCATCCTTCTAACAATGTAGCCGCTATTCCAGAAGAAGCAACTGCTACCGCAATGTCGGAATATCGCGCGAACAGTGGCCAAAATTAATGACATGAGGAATGTTTTACCAGTTCCACCGGGGGCGTCCAGGAAAAAAAGCCACCATTTTCTTCTTCAATCGCTTTCATTAATGTTAAACTTCCTTCTGTTGCGGATTCAATAGAGGTACATTAGTTTGAACTGATTGGTCTAATTCATGTCGATCATATTCACGTTCACGTTCCAATTCTCGATTAAATACGTTATTTATTCCACGATCAGGAGCTGGCATTCCTAATCTGACTAACAAACTACCGCAGGTATGGTAACATATGTCTTCGATCAAGAGCAAAGCCTGATTATGCATTTCATCATTCTCCTCAAGATCGGGATTTCTTGAACTGACACGAATTCTATGTAAAATGTCTTCTGACACGTTATCCTTATATTTGTTCCACAGGTCACGTGGATTCGATGGTATATTGACAATAATATTTATTTATTATATTTGAATTTATCATATTTGAAATTTCAAATATTTGAAATATTTGAAAAAAAAATTTAAAAAGAAATCAATATCGCTCAAACTGTCGAACTGTCAACAGTTTGAAACAGTATTTACAAATTTATTATTTTTGCTAAAATTAGTAGATTTTTCCAATATTTTATAATGTATTCTGCTATTCGGAGCGGAGACGATTCCAACAAATCAAAGATAATTAAAATCGGTTCAGCCGTTCTTGAGTTATGAGTGGTGTAACTAACACAACTTTCTTTTATGTATATAGATTAATTACTTTGGTTGCATAAAAAATGTTGTGGTTTAAATGTGTGAGTTTGATCCAAATAACCAGAAATCAACTGACCAACAAGTAACCACTGTAAGTTGATTAAATATAAAATATTTTTTTTTTACATTTAATTAAAAAAATTTATGTAAAAATTATTTTTATAACTTTTAGCATAAATCACTTTCAATCAAATATAATTGGCATTTGGTATTTGGCCGCTAACGAAATTGAAATCCAATTTTTTGTACAATGCAACAGTTAATCTGTCCGGAGTCTATTTGCGGCCCTGCTGAGTTTTGGTTTGCCCGGGTGAAATTACATTAAATTTCATTGATTCTGTGATTAACACGGTTCACGCGCTGGTATGGAGCAATTTTAAGCCCCGAACAATGGAGCGCTTATATCGCCTACATAACTCCTATATTCCACAGATTCACTTATGCAGGATTTATTTTTTAATGCAGGAACATACATATGTGATTAAACATATTTTATGTGTTTATTATAGAAAAATATGTGTAAAAATATGGTGGCACTGTCAGATTCATAAGCAGTTAATACACCGAGTTAATTTGTGTTTATAGTATATTCTGTGGATATTAATTTTTAATTATTTGCATATCAAATTTATTGCCAATATTAAAAAATGACTTGGTTGGCAGGGTGTTCACATGAAGTCCTATCATAAGGACTGTTATCAATAACGCATAAAATTGCAAATATTTTTGCAATTTCAATTATAAATCATTATAACTCATAATTAAATTTTTTGCTTAAATGTTCCTGCGGCAATTCACTTTGTGGAATACTGATAAAAATCTTTCGCTTCATAATCATGGACTAAAAGAGTATGTAATATTATTAAATATAATCAATTGAGTAAATTATTTAAAAAAGTAAATACAATCTGATTTAATATTTCATTCGTAGTAATTAAAAAAAGTTTTTGTTTTTTTTATTTATTACATATTAAAATCGCTTAATTGTCGATTAAAATAAAAGAATTTTGTTACATTGTGAGAGGAAATTAATATTTATAATCTCTTTTACATCACCAAAGAGATAATAAATAGTTTACATATTGTATATATGTGTGGAAACGCTGTTGAGAGTAACACATATATCTAAAATAAGAAATAAGTTAATAGTAAACTGGCTTACGCTGGAGCGGGGTACTGAGATCATCTCAGTATCCCGTACAGTTTATAAATTGTTGATTGCATATATTATATGACTTTAGTACTTAGTTTTCAAAAGAAACTATTATGGAATCATTGTCCATTTTGTTCTATCTTATGCATATATCTAAAACCGAATAAACATTAACAGTAAACTGAAAATATTGAGATCATGAAAGATCTTTTTACTGTGAGCTAACCATAACTGAGCAGAATATACTTAGCGTATGAAGTCAGATTGTCAACTGTTTGGTTTTTCTGATATCAGAGGATAGTGATGATATAATTTCTGTATTAATTTAGTTCTTAAATGAGACTTTGAGTTTTGGAATCGTTGTTCATAGTTACATGTATATCTAAAACAGCATATAAATTCATAATGAAGTGGCTTCCACCGGAGCGAAATATTGAAGCCATTTCAGAGTTTTTTATTCTAACCATAAATGAATAGAAGACAATCAGCGAATGAAATCAGATTGTCATTTGTTGGGAATTTATTGATATTAGAAAAGTTATTCAAAAAAATAACTCTTGGCATCTTACATTCTTTCTAATTCAGATCAAAGCCGGGGAGTCACATGAAGTGTGATTACACGCTTTATGCGTTTGCAAGAATTACCTATGTTAATCTCAAAAAACCTGTCAATAGCCTCAACTTTGTTCTACTAAGAAGGGATAGCCTTTTGTCCAACAGTTACTCGTAGTATAGCGTCAATAGTGATTTCTTTAGCTTACAATCTATTTTTTTAACAGGGCTATAGTTGTGGATCAACTTATAGGTACATTTAACTAAGTATAATTTGAAATCTATGGCTTACTTTTGTCATAAAAGTAAAAGTTGTATAAGTCATTTGAGTATATAATTAAGCACTGTTTGTAATCCAAAAAAAAAAAATTTTTTTGACTTAATATACGCGGATTTTCGTTTTTTACAACTTTTTCTTTTTAGGATGGTAGTATTGTCGCTGTGTCTATTTTTAGATTTAATAGAATAAATAGAGACTTTATAATAATCTTATAAAATATTATTCTATTGAAACTACAGGCCGTTCAGTTTATATCCACGCAAGTTTTTAAAAGTTAAAATATTCCTGAACTAGCATATTTTAGAATATTTTTGATTCGATATTAGTCGATATTGAATCAGAAGTTGGACATATCAATGAAGAAAATTTTGCAGTCTAAAGTGCAATTATGACGAAAATGATAAACGTTTATTTCTGCATAATAGTTTCTTAACCAATTGTGAACCTAATAACA